TTGCTAACACTAACTACCGACATAGCACCCACCGCAGGGTGACATGGCGCCCACCAGCCTCTAACCAGACATGGACGCAACTCGATCACATCGTGATCAGTTACCACAAGATAGGCTGCGTCCAAAACTGTCGCTCGCTTTAGAGCACGTGTGTGAACGCTGACTAGGCACTTGTATGTGCTGATCTGCTGGTGCGTTTTGGCGGATGCCCGAGACGACGCTGTGAGCGCATTGACGCAAGTTAATTGGCGAAGCCAGCTATACTGAATGGGTACCAAAGTACGTTGGTATGCGGACCGAGTAATCGCCCACTGAAGGTCACTGGATGCATATTCGTCGAACGTTATTATCTGCAGGCATGTATTCATGTGGCAAACCAAATTGCCAACCTGGGCATTAGGTCTCTTCGCATTTTCTGAAACTTTAATGCTCTACTACGTATTCCGGCTGGAGGCGATCGCATTCACTCCCGTGAAAATTTCAGGGTAACATGCTGTGTTTGCCTAGAGAGCGACTGCGAATTTTGGTGGTCTCATCGTGCATCGGTAGTGGAAAGAGCCGCTGCCCTTGGTAACCATCGTATGTAATTCCGTCTGATACTGGAAACGGGTAGCAGGTGACCTGGTGTTAATGAGACCGTACGAGTCCAGAGTGGACAGCCTATTAACAACTTGTCAAAACGCTTGCAGCGTTGGGCCGAACACTTTGCAAGGCAATTTAACCAATCTGAGTTGTTACTTTCTTTTTCAGGCATTGAGTGCCCTTCTCCCTAGGTCATCCCTTTGGATTCACCCTTACGCATAGAAGTCGAAGGTGAAATCAGGCTGTTGAAATTGCATAAGGCCGTAGGGGCAGATTTTTTACACTAGTTACTAGTGAAATTCTGGGGGCGGGAAACTGTTCCATCAGACTGGAGTCGCTTCGCCATAGTCCCAATTTTCAGGGGTGGTATATAAATCGGAATACTTGTAGCTCGGGTGATCTGTTCAGATTTTGTTCTGTTCTCCGCGCTGAACAGTTTCGTTGCAGACGTTTCATCACCAGTCGCGGTGACTTCCTCAGTGCGTTATAAGTAAACTGATTTGTTTTGTCGATTCTTACCGGTGAGCGAGTGACATTTGAACCTGCTCAGTTCGATTCAGGTCCCGTGATCATTGCTTGTTCCCAGTGTGGGCGCCGCCTCTTCCGACTCATTTGCCAGATGATCCACGTAAAATCTTTTCTCGCAGCTGCCTGTATATCGGATCTAAATCGATGCGTTGGTTTATTGAACTGACTGTAGAAAACCAGGCTTCAAGGAATTCTCTTCCTTTTTTGGTCTCGCCTTGCGCTAGTATCTCTGTTTTCTCCCATTTGATTGGGAGAAAACAGAGATACTAGCGCAAGGCGAGACCAAAAAAGGAAGAGAATTCCTTGAAGCCTGGTTTTCTACAGTCAGTTCAATAAACCAACGCATCGATTTAGATCCGATATACAGGCAGCTGCGAGAAAAGATTTTACGTGGATCATCTGGCAAATGAGTCGGAAGAGGCGGCGCCCACACTGGGAACAAGCAATGATCACGGGACCTGAATCGAACTGAGCAGGTTCAAATGTCACTCGCTCACCGGTAAGAATCGACAAAACAAATCAGTTTACTTATAACGCACTGAGGAAGTCACCGCGACTGGTGATGAAACGTCTGCAACGAAACTGTTCAGCGCGGAGAACAGAACAAAATCTGAACAGGGGTGGTTTATGTTCGAATTGCGGCAATCATAGAGTAGACTAGTCTCATCTCAATTACCTCTAAATTGCTTGCATCTCTCGTTCTCCACACACTGACTAGCGTTTGTGAAAGCCAGATTCGTGAGGATTAAGCCGGGTTTCGTCGAGGTCGAGGCTGCATCGACCACATCTTCACTTTGCATCAATTGTTGGAGACCCACCGTTGCCTTCTTCCCCGACATTAATATGCCTTCCATTCGGTAGATCGATGGGCCCTTTGAGACTGTCTGCCGAGGAAATGTGTACCAGATAAATACATAAACGTTACGCGAATAGTTCGGGCAGAGTCAGGCTTTATGGCAAACTGTCCCTGCCACTCAATATAGCTAGCGGTGTGCGACAGGGTTGTCCGCTATTACCTTTCATCTTTAATCTCGCCACTGACGAAGTTCGTTCGTTGAGAACAACCTACAAGGTTTGGAGTTACTTCCTGGCGAGCGACTTCTTTACTTGTAGTGTGTGGACGACATTGCCCTCATATGTGACAGCTCCTTGATGTGCCAAGCAGCACTAGACCGATTAGCATTGGCTGTCAATTTTTTAAGCTTTGCTTCCTTGAAATGCAAGGTCCTTATCCAAGATTGGCATGGACCCACCCCTTCGCTGACCCTTTGTGATGATCAGCTTGAAGTCGTCCGGTAATTCAAGTACCTGGGCAGGTATATTAGTACCGATGGAGTAGAATGTGGCACTACGAACCGTATAGCAAAAGCCCGAGGTGCTTTTGCCAATCTCCACCACCTATGGCGAAGCCATGCTTGTACTAGTGACGTGTATCGACAGGCTGCCCATCACTGAGTTAAGGTTGTAATAAAGCTATTGCGATTTTCTAATATTTTTATTTTAGCAGCTGTGTTTTTGGATACTTTTTAATAAGTTGCTTTGACCTTATGTATCATTTTGTAGTCTGTTTTGTGCTCTGTCTAAAAATAGTGACAGTTTAGCTCAGAAACACGTTTGTACACAAATCGGAATGCCTGTAGCTCGAGTGATCTGTTCAGCTTTTATTCTGTTCTCCGAGCTGAACAGTTTCGTTGCAAACATTTCATCACCATTCGAGGTGACTTCTTCAGTGCGTAGTAAGCAAACTGGGTGGTTTGTCGACTCTTACCGACGAGCGAGTGACATTTGAACTTGGCCACTTCATTTCACATCCCGTGGCCATTGCTAGTTTGCAATTCGGGCGCCGCCTATTTTCGACTTATGTGCTAAATGATCCACATAAATTCTTTTTTCGCAGCTGTTGTACCGGATCTAAGTCGGTGCGCTGGTTTATTGAATTCTCTGTAGAGAACCACGCTTCGAAGAATTCCCTCCCTTTTTTGGTCTCTCCCTGCGCTAACACCTCCGTTTTCTCCCACTCAAACTTGTGCCCTTTTTCATCAACGTGTGTCGAGACTAGTGATGATGGATAATGATTTCGAGAGGCTCGTTTGTGTTCTTGTAGCCTTGTAGACAATTTTCTTCCCGTTTGGCCCACATAGTTCTTATCACAATTTTTACACTCTATTCTGTAACGAACGTTCCGGCGTTCGTGTGCTCTCGTTTTTCCTTTCGGTCTAGACAGGGTTCCTTTCCGAGTGTTGGTGGGTGTCTGAGTCAATAACAGATGGTGAGGCTTGAGGAGCTTGGCAGTCAGTTCCGATTCGTTCTTAATGTATCGCAAAGCGATCCGTTTCTTTGTTGTTAGTTCAGGTGTGGTATTTTAACTTTTATAGTTTATGTCTCTTCGGATGAAACTGCGTGGATATCCGTTGCACATAAAGGATGTACACAACTGGTTTTCTTCTTCGCGTTTTGCTTCCGCAGTATTACAGTGTGATCCTATCCTGCGGAAAAAGGTGCGTATGCAGCTTATTTTGTGACATCTTGGATGGTTGCTGTTGTAATCTAGGATTTGATCTGTGTGCTTATCTTTTCTGCGAACCGATGTTTGTAGTTCTCCGCCCGCTGTTCTAGTAACCAATACATCCAAGAAAAGTAGTTTGTTCTCCATTTCTGGCTCCATAGTGAAGTGCATACCGTTCATTGCATGGTTCAGCAGGCTTTGTGCGGTCTGCAACAGGCTACGTTTGAGTATGACGAACGAGTTGTCAGCGTATCTGACTCACAATTTCGAGGTTCACGACTGGGAGTAGATTTTCTTCTAACGTTTACATGACAATCTCTGCAATGAGTCCAGATATAGCTGATCCCATTGAGGCTCCTTTCACTTGTTCATAGAATGCCCCATCGAAGTTAAAGTAGGTCGTGAGACACAAGTCAAGAAACTCGCATATACTCTCAGTAGCCAGATTCCCAACTGTTCCTTCGCCAACCTTCAGGCGTTCTCTGATGTTTTCTTTCTCCACTTGTAAGTTGACAGAAGTGAACAATGCAGTAACGTCGAAGGACACCATTATTTCTTCATCATCACTCCGAAGTGCTTTGAGTTTCTCCGAAAACTGTTGAGCGTTGTTTATGGAATACCGCTGGCCACTAATTAGGTGTTTAATGCGCCTCCATAATTCTTTAGCCAAGTTGTAGGTGTGCTTACCGGGGAGTGACGCGATTGACCTAACTGGTAGACCAGCTTTGTGCACCTTCGGGAGTCCGTAGAATCGGGCGATGTTTGAGTCAAGAGCTTTCGTCCTCTTGTGCTCCCCCTTTGTGAGTTGCTTTGGATCCTGAAGTCTTTATAGGGTCTTATTAATTTTATTTGTCAGTTGTACTGTTGGATCGCTTTCCAAGCAGCAGTCGCTCAGAAGATTCCTTGTCTTTTCAACGTATTCTGTTTTATCCATTATAACACTTATACATCCTTTGTCCGCGGGTGGGATCACGATAGTTTTGTCAGCCTCCAAGGCCCTTATTACTTTCTTCTCTTGCTGTGGTAAACAATTTTGTTGTGTTATGTTTGAAACGACGGCATGTCTTAACTGTGTTTTCGTCTCTCCGTCAAGGCCATTGGATTGCAAAACATTTTCGAATCCGGCAAGAAATTTTGTGGGTCTTGCGTCTTTGTAGTTATAGTTTAACCCTTTGATAAACACTTCCCTTTCAGCATCACTGAGCGTCCGGCTGGACAGATTCCTGACCCGGCTGTCATTGGCACTTTCGCATTTGGAGCCCGTTACTTTAGCCAACTTCTCTCGCAAAGCAGCCTGCTTCTTCGCTTTAACCTTTGCTGTTCTGCATATATATATACCGCCTATCGCACTAAGGACACTTCTTCGTCTTTTTGCCTGTCACAGCCCTTACTCAAGTACATCCAACACCACAGGACACGAGACACGGTCCCTTCAGTCGTCTGTTCTTGAAGACAGGGCCCACTCTGTTGGCAATACAAGCCTTCGGCTTGTATCTCCGCGCGAATCCCCCAAATCCATCGATGGTGTTTCAAAACTGACTCGTGTTACTGACGGGGCTGTGTCTGTTGCATCCCATCTGGTGTCCGTGGATCCGCAGCCTAACCGTAAGTCTCTCATGTTAGTGTTTCGTAGTGCTACGCCGTTGATTGGCTTTCATTTGTATCGTCACTCTGTCTTCACTTCACTGTCATATCAAACTGCCGCCGCCAAATTTGCATTGCGCTGGTCATCCAGTTGCGACCGCCCATCTGTTTTCTTCTAACCTAACCATCAAGATTTGTTAATCCAACTCGCTCTCAGTGGTTCTTATGTTGTATTTCAGGTCGTCACTCACTTTCCCTCCAAGCATCATCATCATGCATCTTCAGAAATCTATATTTTCTCTTTGCTATCCAGTCTCGTGTTATCTTACCAGAAAATCGGCGCCCGTGTCGTGCACTACATCAATGCCAGAGTCAAATGTGGCCGGCTGTTTATTTATCTTCCTACTTTGTCCCCCTTCATTACAACTTTATCATTTTGTTGCTTGTCGTTCATTCCATTTTTACCTTGCAATCCTCTTTTTTGGCAATGTTCCACGAGGAAGCGGATTTACTTTTGCGTCATTTTTAGACTACCGTAACTAACGCCGTCGCATTGAGGCTGGACCTTACCGTGGTACGATGGTTTGTGTGCCTCATTGATCCATTGAGCTATGCTGGACGGTGCATTTTTGTACCTTCAGAACCACTCATACCAGATTGATCAATGGTTATAGGCCAGACAAACTCAGCCTCCTGATCTTCCAAGTTGGGGGTTGGAATGAGGGTGGCTCCTCATTCCTTAAAACGGACTCCTTGTAGCCCAACGCCAATGCCGCTACCTTGCGGTCAGGTTTTTGAACCAAATGCTTTGATTGAGAACCCTAATCGTTCTCCTGTCTAGGCCTGGGCAACTTGACAGTAGCCTGCCCACGCAATATACCATGAACTTACCTTCCAACAATCTCTCGATGCTCTGGCTGTCGCAGAGGATAATCAACGGTGCCCTATCTGCTGCATCGAGCAGGGTGGATAGGGGTTTGGATTCTACTGCTCAAGCCTTCCGTCTTCTTACGCTTTTTCACCCTTATCGTCCCGTTCCAGCTTCACTTTTATCCCCCATGTTTTCATCCCCTGATTCTTGGCCCCTCTCCCACCTTGCTTCAATAATCGCTTGTCTTTTAGTTTCAACTCACATGTGAACGCGGTGCGTCATTCCTGCCCTGTCGACAGGCCCATTTCCAAACAAGCGGTCAAGCCCAGTTCATCGGCTTCCATCTGAAGCCCTCGATCCTCCTTCAGATTGGCATACCTCAATGTACGCACATTGCTTCAGATCGGTCAACAGGCAACACTTGTCCGAACATTAGTGATCCTCTCCATCGATATCTGCTCATCGGAGACCCCCATGTAAGACGCGAGCTCTGTACTCACTCTGCGATCCCCTTCAGGTGACACTAGCGACACTTTCTCATTGCGCCTATCTGGTGACGATGAAGCTTCGAGCACCGGCCAAGCCGGTGTTGGTATTGCCCTGAGTCCCCGGGCTGAAGCTACTCTGGTGGATTGGATTCCAATCAATAGTCGGATGTGTGCGGTCCGATTGGCTGGCTCGTTCAAAGCTTCGAAGTCACGTGGGACTAACAGGTGTTTATTCGTTATCGCTGTCTATGCACTCACAAACTCTAGCGATGACTCGGTAAAATACGACTTCTATCGTCAAATGATCGAGCTCCTTCGCCACAGAAGAAGCTCAGACACTGTACTGCTGGCTGGGGATCTAAACGCTCAAGTTGGAAAATTATCCACCGATGAGCTGCATCTGGGCGGCCAGCATGGTGTAGACTCCCGTAATGATAACGGTGAGCGGTTACTTCATTTGTGTGAAGATGCTCGCTTATTTCTTGCGAGCACTAATTTCAGACACAGCACCCGCCGGAGGGTGACTTGGCGCCCACTAGCCTCGAACCAGCTATGGACGCAAATCGATCACATTGCAATAACTTACCGTTGGAGATGCTGCGTCCGGAACTGTCGCTCGATTTGGAACACATGTGTAGACACCGACCATGCACTTGTATGTGCTGACCTACGGATGCGTTTTGGCGGACGCCCACGACGACGTTGCGAACGCATTGACATCAGCCAACTTGCGGAGCTAGCTATTTTGAAAGCCTACCAAGGTACGCTGTCATGCGCGTTGAATAAACACTCACTGCATGCAATTGAAGCGCACTGGTCTCATATCCACAACTTGTCAAAACGCTTAGAGCGTTGGGCTGAGCACTTTGATAGGCAATTTAATCGGCCGGAATTGTTAAAGTCCCCACCGGCCACTGATTGCCCCGCTCCGTGGGCTGTCCCTTTGGGTCCACTCTCTCGCTCAGAAGTCAAACGTGAGATCGGACTGTTGAAGTTAAATAAAGTCGCGGGACCAGATGATCTTCCTCCAGCCCTCTTCAAATTCGGGGGATCTGCTCTTGTGCATGATTTACACGAGTTACTGGTGAAACTGTGGGAGCAGAAAACTGTCCCAACCGACTTTAGCTGCTCCGTCATAGTCCCAATTTTTAAGGGAGGCTCACGATCGGAATGCGGCAGCCATAGAGGAATCAGTTTGATCTCCATCGTCTCCAAATTGCTTGCCTCTGTCATCCTTCACAGACGGATTGGCACTCGTGAAAGCCATATTCGTGAAGAGCAAGCGGGGTTTCGTCGAGGTCGTGGCTGCATTGACCACATCACCTTGCGTGAGTTGTTGGAGCACCGTCACATATATTGTGGGCCTACGGTTGTCGTGTTCCTCGATATCAAAGGCGCATTCGATTCGGTGGATCGACGTGCACTTTGGGACTCATCATCATCATCATCATTACACGTTAGCTGGAGGTGGAAAACACCTCAGCTATTGTGCCGCAATACAAAAGGCAAGAAAAGAAAAAACAAACAAACAGTGGCACGCCCGCTGAGTCCCCAGTAACGGATGGACATCGTTCCGGAGAGCTAACAGCTGGCTGCCGTAAAAGAAAGTCATATTATGCTTAACGATTGAGATCGTGATTGGAGGGGGATGGACAAAGGAACTCACAACACAAACGCCATTGGGGCCGGCTCTTAGCCATATCAGCAAGTGTGTCCAGCCAAACGTGTTCACCGTCCTTAGGACCCCAGCCAGGCAGTCGGGATGCACCAACCGACGCCAACTTCGAAGTGAGGGTTTTCATTTCTCGCGACCAAGTCATCACTTGGCCTCCCCTCCTCCTCTTCCAACCGCACCCACAACGCGCAAACAATGCACGTCGTGGGAGTCGGTGTGCTGGCATGCGCAAGACGTGGCCCAGCCATCGGAGCCTGATGCGTGATATAATCGTGCTGAGCGGTTCACTCGCTCTTCCTGCACCAAATACGCGACGTCGAACACGCTCATTGCTCACGCGGTGTTCCCACCAGACATGAGCTAAGCTGCGAAGGCAGCGATGATCGAACGTGACGAGTCTCTTCATGTCTGTCGACCTGATGGGCCAGGTTTCACAGCCATATAGGAGAGTTGAACGGACGGCTGCGTTGTAAACTCTGCCCTTGAGGGCGAGAGTAATGTCGCGTCTGCGCCACAGGTGGCGGAGATTGGCAAAAGCACCTCGAGCTTTTGCTATACGGTTCGTAACCTCATCTTCAATCCCACGGGTGCTAATATAGCTGCTCATCTCCCAGTCAACCCAGCCAAGTCTGTATTTATGAGTCTGGGGTAGGGTGCTGACGGCCGAACCTACACCCTTGACGGCCAACCGCTATATCCCACACCATCCGTGAAGGATCTAGGTGTACTCTCACGCTACAATTTGAAGTCCGTGGACCACACGAACAGGCTATATCGTAACGGACTGCGCATGCTTTGGGCGCTCAACGTAGCTTCGGCACATGGTCTGAAGAGGTTGCCACTCGCCTCTTCTCTTCCATCATTAGACCAATGATAAAGTACGGTTCACCCGCCTACTTTCCGATTACCCGAGGCGAGGCACAAAAGATCGAACGAGTCTAACATGTTGCTACTAGACTCATCCCCAGCTTACGTGGCTTGGGGTATGAAGACCAGTGCGAGAAACTAGTACTCTACACCTTGTTCTACCCTCGGGTGCCGGTCGACCACATTATGACCTACCGTATTCTACATCTCGGTGACTTCCCCATGCTGAGGCCAATGCAGCACTTATGATGGCCATGCAGCACACGCGGACACAGATACAAACTTGTCGTGCCGGATGTGAAGTGTGTTCCCACCCACTGTGCTTCGAACGGAGAGTGGTAAATATTTGGAACAGTTTGCCTGAACACGTGATGGAAGCAACATCTGTGCAGCAGTTTAAAACGTTGTTAGATTTATATTTTACCACTATTCGATTCAGAGAACGATTGCACACTTACCATGACAACCTCGCCTGACGGCAGACGTAAAAACCGAAGCTCTGACACTGCATGATTTCTACGTGCAGTCTCAACGGATCGCGGACCATTATATACCATTTCCATAATCCGAACAAGTGCTGAATGATATCTGACGGTTCTCGCAAAAACTCTGCAAAACCTTCCAAATCACTCTGTGCTCCGCTCTGCAGTGGATTTTTCCTTACCCATCTCAACGTACACCAACCAAATTCCAATCATTCGGCTCGGAATTACCAGCTCTATCCAACAACCACTTGGCCAGCTCCATACCATCGCAATCTACAACTCTTGGCGGTACTTTGAGCCATATTTCCTAATACGACCAGTAAATCTGCTCCATCGTGTGGACTACATCTCACCGACAACCGACCCTAAACGGCATCGATCAATAGACGCAAGTTTTCTCTCACCCCAAAGCCACTCGACCTTGCGTGCGTGTCACAACGTGTGAGCGAATCACCTTAACGTCAGATTGTCATTTACCATCCGCCCGGGAGCGTACTCCATAGACCCGTGCACATAGACGAACAAACGAGACTAACGAACAAACCGCGCAGGTGACAGAGAAACCAAAGAACTGCCCCATCAGCGAAAACAACCCGGAATTTAAACCGGTTGGTTTGCACCACTTATAGTAGTAAAAACTGCGCCATATTTTTTCTCGTCCCCCTGCGGTTGTATTCCTACTCAACACTTATTAGACCTACACTCAGCACCATAACATTCTTCCGAGTACCCACTAGAAATGCCTGTTAACAATGTGAAAACGAGAAGCGCCCTCCTCAGGCTGAAGTTGAAA